GCTCAGCAATGAACTCTGCTATCTCGTATAAATAGAAAACTTTTAGCTTGCCAAGCATTTGTTCCTTGTCTGAGTTGTCTCTAGTGGACAAATTCCAAAGAAAGGGTACACAGCAAAACAGAAAATAGTTAACTGGTGTACCATGTTCCTGCCAGGGTCTTTTTTATTTCCTTTTGTTCTATAATATTCATTTGATTCTGGTCATTTTTTAACTTTTGTAAATCCATTTGCTTTTAGGTATATATCTGCTGTGATTATATGTTGGTTTATTAGTGGAACTTTGACACTTTGCAAGTGAAGAAGAAGGATCTGCTTTATATATTTTGTGCTTATGTAGTGTTCGTGGCCATTTCCTTTCACCCAGGAACACCTAACTAGCAACAGATTTCTCCTATCCAGCACAAATTTGTAATTCTTCATCAGCAAATTCTTGTTCTTATTTCCCTTCGTTCTACATTCAATCATCAACTTCTGTTGAAGTGCAAAACCCATTGGCATCCATTGAAACACGAAGGTTCTATATGCAATGAGTGGAACAGAAAATTGTATGCAAAATTTCAAATTTAATTCCACAAGCTAAACTGAAAGAGTTATTCACAATTTATTAACAAAATCAATCATCCCCAATACAATATTCACACGAGGAACACGAAATGAATGCACAACAAGGTACAATAATTGATATTTTCAATTGATGAGATTTCTTGAACAAGATGAATAGAAGCATGAGCATCCCATACACTTACATTTGACATGCAGACAGATGAACTAAAAGCCTCCACACATACTACCAGTTTTCCTTGACGATTTTTGATTTCTCAAGTATGAATTTCCCTTCCTTGTACTTCTGCATTTCCTCATAGGCTCATTCGTACTTCGAACCCAGCACCTCATGGCAGTCGCAGCAGGAGGCATCAGCAACAGTGTGCAGACCAGTCATGAGTTGTCTGTTTTCTTTTGGCCCGACTGTAATGTTCATTGCATGTGAAAACAGAAAGGCTCGACCATTTCTACCCTATGATTTAGGAAAAGAAATAGCCGAATCAAGTAATGTTCTTGCAATCCTCTCATCATAGTCACATCCAGAACAAGACTATCTAATATACACATTAACCAAATCAATACGTATGCAGAACATAAAAACCCTCAACCAAACAGAAAACAACTAATTGCCTCCTTCCGTTGGCTATCAAGTTTGAATTGAGTCTTCATTTCAACTTACACGAAGGCTAAACTTTTATTCCCCATTTCATCCAAAATCCAGTGACAAGTAAACGTCTATTCATTTCATTTTATAGAACAGATTCTCATTAGCATATCAAAGCAGGTCTCTTTCTTAATGATAGACAATCAAAAGAAGCACAACAGCTTAATCAAAGCAAAGCAAAGTTCTTCACCTGAAAGGCTTTAGAAATGACATCATCATGAAGGGCAACATGGTTTCTGCAATTACAGCAACTATACAACCTCGGCCCAACAAATTCCGCCATCAGAAATCGAGATTACGATGAGCAAAGCACAGACCCCTGAGCCACTATACAAAATTCAAGACCCTCTGCTACAGGGCATCCAAACAATTGCAGATACAGCAGCAATCAGCATCACTTTTTAGTACAATCAAAACTGAAAATCCAAAAGATGCATATGTAAATACAAAAATTCAAGAGCAACAAGGAGATCACCTTTTCCTCACCAGATATTGGTCCACTATAAAATTGGCTATCAACTAGTCTTGGACGCAATTCCTGTTGACAAAACAGAGCAGTGATTACGTAAAGGATCAAACAACTGAAACCAATGATAAAGAGCAGTAATGGTGATCAATCAAGCCATCAATGAGCCCCAAAAAGAAGTAAATGGCAATTGGTAAAGACAGAAATGCTGTGAGAAAAGTAAAAAGCTAATAAAGAAACCCACTTCAAAAATCACACAAGATCAGGGACAACATATAGCTAAAACCCAGTAATTAACAATGAATTTGGCTACAGGAGAAAAACCCAATATTTGAAAAAAATTTAAAAAAAAAATTGAAACTTTTTCTTTAATTATGAAATGGGTGGTGGACTGATCATCTGCTAGGCCAGTAAATGCCAGAAATGTTGAAGATATGAGAATTACATGCATAGATTAAAATATTTGTACCTGGCCACTGTGCCATGGTGGGTTTATAAAGATGGCCGTGGAAAAGAGAGAGAGTGAGAGGGAGAGTTTTAGGGTTCTCTGAGACTCAAGACTGTGAGCTTAGAGTAATGGAGAGATGTGTCGGAGTTGGGTGAGTTCTAAACTTACTGATTAGGAAGATGACAAGTTGCCTTGAAGCTGTCCTGAGAAATGACATCACTTTGGCGCTAAATTACAAAGTTACCACACTAGACTGCCACACTAGACCGCCTAGAGTACTAAAGTGTTCCATATTTTTGGTGTAAGAGTGTGCTTAAGTGACTTATGACTATTGATAAAATGTAAATTTACAAATTACATGCATCAACAGTCAAAAATCACTTACACGTGATTGGCTGTATTACAACCTAATTCATCATTTGCTTTATGGTCCTTAAACGTCAGTGCAAATCTATGGTGACTCTTACTAGTTACATAAAACTTGTGTAATCTTGATAGTTTTTTTTAAAGTACAAGTGATAGTCTAAACTTACACATATAACTAAAATGCCATGAGAATTCGAACCTAAGACCTTTAATCAGTAAGTCGATGTTTTTTTTCTTTCACCAAACTAAACCCCATTGGCATTTTGATAGTTTTAATAAGAAAGAAAAATGTGAAACATACTTTATTTGGTGGTTGAGTGGGGTAGGTTGTTGGGTCCACAATGCTATAGCATTGGTTTCAATCTGCTATGGGAACAGGAGAAATGATTTAGATGGGTTATATAAAGACGTCAACAATATCATTTGGTCATTTCATGCGTATAAAAAGTCTCAAGGATCATGTGATAATATCATATTCCATGAGGCTTTTTTTCCCTTATTTATAGATGTTTGATAAAAAATGAATAATGGAATAACAGCTGTTCGATTAGATATGTGCTATTAATGTGCATTTTAATTATCTAATTTTATTTACTATCCATTTGATCACGCAAGTCCTTTAACTTAAACCCTAATCTTTCTTAACAAAATGTGCAAGAAATGAGAAGAATTATTCACATGAATGTGTCTGCCTGGGACCCCTTATAAAATTAAAGGGAGTGTCTCATGCACATTATTATTTGCTTCTCAATTTAGGAAGCCGGGTTGGTTTATGTTTATGTTGATGATGAGCTCTTGGGCCCCCTTAAATTAAAAGCTGGGTCTCTTGCATATTATCATTTGCTTATATCACTTTAGGAAGCAGCTTGGCATGATATTCGACAGCATTATATGGGAGATTATAAAATCCGTGCAAGTTACAACAACCTACCAATAACGCCAAACCATCTTCTTCAGATTTCTTGGCAATTAATTTGAGGGTGGAATCATGAATTTTTCGATGGTGAGACTAGCTAAATTCTTTGGCTAAAACAAAAGTATATATTAAATCATATAAATCATGCAATTCATAGCTACTTTGACTAATTTCTAAGTAGAATTAAAATAAAACAGATACATATTAGATGCAATAAAAAAAAAAAAGCATATTATGAAAATGAATATATGTTTAACAAAATAATTAAAAGTGTACCTATTGAAGTTTTACTATGAGATCCTTGAGAGAATTGAAATATTTTGTTATTGTCATCTGAATCCATCTTGTTGCTAATCAACCTATCTATCAAATGATATCTTTGTGACTTTTTTGTTTCATCTTATTCGGAAAAGGGTGAATTTCATTTAGACAAATTTTTCTCATATGTAGACAAATCAATGAAAATATTAAAATTGGAGAGTCGGGGATAAAAATTTTACCTACGAAACTTTCATAACAAAGAATACAAAAAACATCATGTATTGGGACCGCTGCTAAGGCTAAGTTTCACACGTATATTTTTTATTTTAACATAGTTTATTATAATCGAGGATACTTCTTTATGTGGGACCAATTAGGATACTAGGATATTTATTTTTTTATGTGGAACTTCAAACTTGCACACTTCTTCACGTGAGAAACTGCCAAGAAGTCACAAAATGATAATCTCAGTCAATGAGCTATGTATGTTTAATATTTTCTTTTCCAAAAGACTAGCTGAGCTACAACCCAGTGTAGCCCACTAGGTAGTTCCACCCGTGAATTGGTTGTAACTTGTATCAAATTTCATTCAAAATAGCTCCAAAATTGCGGAGCTGTCTGTCACAAACTTGTGATATATGATGGAGTAACCTAACTATAGTGACATATCTCGTTGCATTGTGAGTTATGTCAATTGACAATTTCATTAGTTAATCACACATTGTTTTACCATAAGTATACAAAATATTTTCCTCCGGCTAGTAGTGAGTTTACGTGGACGCATGTGTATCATCCACACATATGCACTGCTCGATGAGATTCAAGAAAAATTTGAATCCATACCAGAAAGTGCACTTTAGAACATAGATTTCCCAAACCTTGGTCAACTCTTCCACTTTTTGTTTCTTTTCAATTTCTTTTCCAATTGGGCATGTGGTTATACTCACCAACTGTAAAATCAGTTGGCCTTGGAAGGGTAGGTATTATTCTGCGCTGTGGCTACCAAACAAACTATCCATGTTCCATGGACCACTCAAAATTCTTCCTATACGCCACCATATTTTTTGTCGTTCAGTACATGATTGCAATAGATTCAAAAAAGAGAGGATATTTTAGGCAGTGGAAGAAACATATATCAAGCTTACTTGTAGTAATGTTCAGCTCATCGGTGACTAATATTGGATTGAATTGAATACAATCAACTAATATTCTCAACTTCGTATTAGATGTGTAGAAGAAAAAAAAACATATACAAAATAGCACCACGAGGGTGAACAGCTGCAACAACTCAGAATAACCTGCTAGCTAATTAGCTAACTAATTATTTTTTTCTTCTAATTATCTAAATTAGGTATGATAGAAATTTATTATACCCTAAAATTAGTTATGACCCAAGAAAATTTCACAACTTATCTACCTCCTTAGATTCTCCGTCCTCATATCATTCAATTTTAATCCACCACTACCACCTTAAAAACAAGACATAAATACATGTTAGAAACTATTGACACACAGAATGACAGAAAGCACAGAATCCATGGAAGAATCCACTCATGAAATCACAAGCCCTCTCAGTAAGCAAGCCCTCCCCATCAATCAATAAATTCCCTTTTTCTCTTTCTAATTTTGTTTTCTGGCTGTGCAGTTTCTAAGGACAAGAAAGATGAAGACTTTTATGGCCAGCCCTCATCTTCTCAACCAAAACTTCAAAAAAACCCAGAAGAAGAAGAAGAAAACTCACCAGTGGAACAGGTTGCTCTGACTGTACCAACCACAGACGATCCCTCCCTCCCAGTCCTAACATTTCGAATGTGGGTTCTGGGTACCCTCTCCTGCACCCTCCTCTCCTTCCTCAATCAGTTCTTCTGGTACAGAACAGAGCCTCTTTCGATCACCGCCATCTCTGCCCAGATTGCTGTGGTGCCTCTGGGGCAGCTCATGGCTTCCAAAATCACAACCCATGCCTTCTTCAAAGGCTCCCGCTGGGAGTTCACCCTCAACCCTGGACCCTTCAATGTCAAAGAACATGTCCTCATCACCATCTTTGCCAACTCTGGAGCTGGAACCGTCTACGCCATTCATATTGTTACTGTGGTTAAAGTTTTTTACAAGAAGCACATCACCTTCTTTGTGTCCCTGCTTGTTATCTTAACAACTCAGGTTAATATTTTTATTTAAGTAATTTGTTAACTTCTTCCAGTTATATTATATTGGTTTTGTAGAGTTTAATTGAAGATTATTATTTTGAAATTATGTTGATTAGGGTTGATGATGGGGTTTGAAATTGAATTGAATGGTAGGTGTTGGGGTTTGGTTGGGCTGGGATTTTCAGGAGGTACTTGGTTGAACCAGCTGCTATGTGGTGGCCGGCAAACCTTGTCCAAGTTTCATTGTTCAGGTAATACCTTCATCTTTTTCTTTTATGTATTCCCTGGCTACCTCTTTCAAATGCTAACTTCCCTCTCTTGGATTTGTTGGATTTTCCCCAAAAATGTCCTGGCCCAACAGCTTGGCTCAGGTCTTTATGGGCTTGGAATTGGAGCCGTTGGGCTTGACTGGTCAACCATCTCCTCCTACCTTGGAAGCCCACTTGCAAGCCCATGGTTTGCCACAGCCAATGTTGCTGCTGGTTTTTTCTTTGTCATGTACATATTGACTCCATTTTGCTATTGGCTTAATGTCTACAAAGCCAAAACCTTCCCAATTTTTTCAGACTCAATGTTCACATCAGATGGTCAAGAATACAACATAACGTCTATCATTGACTCCAATTTCCACCTTGATATCGCGGCATACGATCGAGAAGGTCCTCTTTACCTCAGCATAATTTTCGCAATAACTTACGGCGTTGGCTTTGCTGCACTCACTGCTACAATTGTACATGTTGCTCTATTTCATGGAAGGTAACAATTTGACAATACACTATGTTCAAGTTTATTGAAAATTTTCACTAGAGCTAGTTGTATACAACTATGTACCGATTTCTATAAATCACATTATGATAAAGATAGACACATAATTGTATACGATCAACGATAGAGAAGATTTTCTCTTAAATTTTTCACATTTGAGTCAATTGGTTTAGGCAGTGTTTAGAAGCTCATTCTTTGGCCATATGGTGTATTTGTAGGGAAATATGGGAGCAAAGCAAAGCAAGTTTCAAAGAGAAGCAAATGGACATACACACAAGACTTATGCAGAGATACAATCAAGTGCCTGAGTGGTGGTTTGTGGTCATACTTTTGGTCAACATTGCAGTCACTGTTTTTACCTGCGAATACTACAATGACCAGCTTCAGTTGCCTTGGTGGGGTGTTTTACTAGCTTGTGCTATTGCCATTTTCTTCACCCTCCCAATTGGGATCATCACAGCCATCACAAATCAGGTACCTATTTTCTGGTACTTTCCCTTAACAGCCAATGTTGTTGGACATTTTAGTCTTTTAACTAATATGTTGCTTCATTAATCAGTTCATCTTTCTAATGACAGACACCAGGCTTAAACATCATCACTGAGTATATAATTGGGTATATATACCCAGGTTACCCAGTTGCCAATATGTGCTTCAAGGTGTATGGCTACATAAGTATGACACAAGCCATCACATTTTTGCAAGACTTCAAGCTTGGTCACTACATGAAAATCCCTCCTAGAACCATGTTCATGGCTCAGGTCACTTCCTATTTTTTCAAGTGCCGCTATTTGTATCGCATTCACAGATCACATAATGTGGTCAATAAATAACGTACAAATAGTATAATTGTATTTCTCTTCTTATAATAATTTCCTTCCAATCCCAATATCCTTAACAATTAAATTCACCTCTCAGGTTGTGGGTACCCTGATAGCTGGAATTGTCTACTTGGGCACTGCTTGGTGGCTGATGGAAACCATCCCAGACATATGTGAGGACACATCATCAGTGTGGACTTGCCCAAGTGACACAGTGTTCTATGATGCCTCAGTCATATGGGGCTTGATTGGCCCTAGAAGAATATTTGGTAACTTGGGCACATATGAGGCAGTCAATTGGTTCTTCTTGGGTGGTGCAGTTGCCCCCGTTGTTGTATGGGCAGCTGCTAAGGCCTTCCCAAACCAAGAGTGGATCAGGCTCATCAACATGCCAGTCCTAATTGGTGCCACAGGGTATATGCCACCTGCAACTGCAGTCAACTACACTTCTTGGATCATTTTGGGTTTTCTGTCTGGTTTTGTTGTGTATAGGTATAGGCCAGATTGGTGGAGGAGGCACAATTATGTGCTCTCGGGGGCACTTGATGCTGGCCTTGCCTTCATGGGGGTGCTTCTGTATTTTAGCTTGGGGTTGGAGGACATTAGCCTTAGCTGGTGGGGAAATGACCTTGATGGGTGCCCCTTGGCTACTTGCCCTACGGCTAAAGGGGTGATTGTTGAAGGCTGCCCTGTTTACACTTGAAGAAATTGTATATAGTTATTTTCTTTTTTTCATTCTTAAAGAATTGCACTAGTTGGATAGAAAATAGGATGATTTCTTTCCAGTCAACTGTTGTTTTCTTGGTTTGTAATGGGGAAAGCAACGGATTTCATTTGTAATTTGTGCATGGGCAGTATTCATGCTTAAATTTGGTCCAACAAAATGTTGGAGAAGTTTCACAAAAACAAAAGAAATGTTGGAGAATCCTACGAGATTGAAAGATGCTACAGAAATCATACTGGTGTGATATAGTAAGTTATCTTTTGGTATTTATAACTATCTTCGTGCGTATATGTATCGTTAGAGACTTCTTCAATGATCGTTTGTCTATAATTTTAATGTTTGTACCATCAAACAAATTGTGCATGTTAAACAAAATTTACTATATAAATCATCTTATTTGATGGTCATAAAAAAATAAATGAGTCTCCTAATTAGAGGTTTGCAAGTAGCACGATCAACCAAATAGATGCTATTGATTTTCTAAAAAATTTATGTACCTTCATACATCAAGTAGGGATGAAATTACTTCAACAGAAGTAAATCAAAAAGGGAAATGCTAGACTTACCACATTTTTATACCACATTGTGTACCACCTAATAGAGGTGGGTCCTATTGTATTGGTAGGCTCCAGTTCTATTAGAGAGGTGGTACACAATGTGGTATAAAAATAGAGTGCTACTAAACAAACCCTAAAATTAACTGAGTACACCCTACTACCAAACTATTTATTAAATTACTAATTTACCCTAATATAAAATGACCAAAAGGGATATATTGAACTATGAAACAAATGTAATTTTAATAAGTACACCATATTCACCATATTCAACCATAATCAAACGTAAGCAAAACATCATACTTCCAAAAACCTTAATATTAACTCCAACAATTTGTTTCATTGTTATTTATTAATTCATTGATGCAAACAAGTCTCATGGATGCTTCAAACATGTCGAGGGAGTCATCAAAAGAGGTATTAATTTTGGTTTTTTAGGTTTAGGTTGAAAGAAAAAAATTAAAATTAAAATTTGTCATATCGTGAAACCCAGAAAGCTCATGCACATACCCTTCAACTTGGCACTTCAGACGCATTCTTCCATGCACGCCAGTTGTTCGACGAAACGCCTGACTTGAGCGTGGTATCCACCACAACAATAATAGGCAGCTTTGCTTAGCAACACCATCATGAGGAAGCTATTTATTTCTTTTCAAGAATGCTTGTTTCGAATATCAGACCCAACGAATTCACATTTGGCACCGTCATTCACTCGTCAACTGCACTTGGAGACCTAAACATAGGCAAGCAACAACTTCATGCATGTGCAACAAAGATGGGTTTGCATTCGAATGTCTTTGCGAGGGAGTCATCAAAAGAGGTATTAATTTTGGTTTTTTAGGTTTAGGTTGAAAGAAAAGTCTCATGGATCGTTATGCCAAGTTGAGCATTACCCATGATGCTAAGAACCATCACCAAAAGAATGAAATTTTATCTGCATTCGAATTTTTTTGTGCATTTGGTGTTGTGTGATTGAGTGTATTAGAGCATGTCCATCCATAAGGGCTAAGTCTAGGGCAAGGGCAAGCAAGGGCTGCCACTATTCACATGAATAGTGTCAGCCTTGCCATTTGTGGTTCCACCCATGAGGGCTAAGTCTAGGGCAAGTCTAAGGCAAGAAAGGAAAAAAATATTATGCAACAAAATATAAACAATTTAGAAAGTGAATAATATTGTTATGTATTTATAGGGAAAGTATCTATAATTTTTTGGTATTTAAAAAAAAAATTGAAATTTTTTTGGAGTTTTAAAATATTTTTTTGGATTTTTAAAATATTTTTTTGCTCGCTGACGTCACAAAACTCGGGCTGAAGCCTAGGCGAAATCTGCCCTTGGGCTTGCCCGGGCTGGTGGGACCCAGGCGAAACTGTATCTATAATTTTTTGGTATTTAAAAAAAAAAATTGAAATTTTTTTGGAGTTTTAAAATATTTTTTTGGATTTTAAAAATATTTTTTTGCTCTCTGACGTCACAAAACTCGGGCTGAAGCCTAGGCGAAATCTGCCCTTGGGCTTGCCCGGGCTGGTGGGACCCAGGCGAAACTGGGCTGCAGGCTGCAGCGCTGGAGGGCCAAACCTTGCCCTGGGGGGCCTTTTACCCGGTTTGGCGGGCTGCGCTGGAGATGCTCTTAGGGTGTATAAGGGGTATTTTTGATAGTTAGATAGAGTGTACATAGTTAATTTTATATTTTGATTTAAATATCAGGGTGTACTCAGTTAATTTTAGGGTTCGTTTAGCAACACTCTAAAAATATGATAAGTCTAGCATTACCCAATCAAAAACTAGTTGGTGAAACCAACATTGCAAAATAAATTTATTCTCTAAATATGTTTTTGATACATATCTATTATTTTTTATAAATATTAGTTTATTATAATCGAGGATACTTCATTATGTGGGACCAATTAGGATACTAGGATATTTATTTTTTTTATGTGGGACTTCAAATTTGCGTACTTCTTTACGTGAGAAACTGCCAAGAAATCACAAGATGATAATCTCAGTCAATGAGCTATGTATGTTTAATATTTTCTTTTCCAAAAAACTAGCTGGGCTACATCCCAGTGTAGCTCACTAAGTAGTTCTGCCTGTGAATTGGTTGTATCAAATTTCATTCAAAATAGCTCCAAAATTGCATAGTTGTTTGTCACAAACTTGTGATATATGATGGGAGAAGTAACCTAACTATAGTGACATTCCGATGCATGTAAGTTATGCCAATTGACAATTTCATAAGTTAATCACACATTATTATATATAAAAATTAAAATATAAAGCAATTAATATATGATTGACTTTGACATACCATCATAGTGACAATGTAAAAAAGTTTTTACCATAAGTATACAAAATATTTTCCTCCGGCTAGTAGTGAGTTTACGTGGGCGCATGTGTATCATCCAGACATATGCACTGCTCTATGAGATTCAAGAATAATTTGAATCTAGACCAGAAAGTGCACTTTAGAACATAGTGTTGAAGAAAAATGTGAACATCCCAACATAATTTCACCACCACTAATTAAATAATGAGATTTTATTATTTTAGGTTCGACCCATTCGAGACACAAGTCTCTTAATTACAATCCCTTACTTCAAGGGAACACCATTTGATTCCATCATAAAGAAACATAACGTGTGTGTTTGGTTTTGCAGCTGCTCCCAAGTCCAACCTCATGGTGCCTACGTATCCCTCGCGGGAATCAAGCCACTCGTAGTTCAAAGATTTGCAATGAGTAAATGACTCATTGCAAAATGGAGGAATTTGAATGAATTTGATTGAAAAAAGTGTTGGAGTGAATTTAGCTGAATAAACCAGGGATTCGATTTTGATGTGTGTTTGTGGTGAATTTGGTTAAGAATGAACTAGATATTCAAATTTGGTTGCGATTGCGTCTATTAGGATGCTAGACTGCCTATGTACCCATGATGGGATCAAACCAACGTAGTTCGGAATTGATTTGGAAATTAATAGGTAACTGTGGCCCACTAATTAAAAATTTGTGTCTTTGAGGCAATTTGGAGATGTTGAAATTTTCATAGGTAGATGACCCATTGGAAAAATTGGAAATTAATGGGTAAGTGTGGCCCACTGATTTAGAATTTGTGCTTGAGAGATTTGAATTTAATCATATTGAATTTTGCATGGGTAGATGACCCATGGGAAAATTTTGAGGGTTTTGTACCATTTTTTCCTTATTGTCAATGTCCAAGAAAAATAATGAGCAATTTAGATGAACCCGCTAATTTTTTGCAATTGACATTTGCATTTGGGAAAGAGTTTTGGTGAATTTGGTTTGGATAAACCAGGGATTCAAATTTGGTTGTGGTTGCGTTTATTGATATGGTAGATTGCCTACGTACCTTTGATGGGATCAAACCGACGTAGTTCCAAATTGATTTGTGTGAAGAGAGATTTAATTTGGGAGAATTTGGTTAATGTAACCAATTATTCATATTTTGTTGTGGTTGTGTCTAGTAGGATGCTAGACTGCCTATGTACCCTTGACGGGATCAAACCGACGTAGTTCCAAATTTAGAAATTAATTTGCGTGGTTTTGTACCACTTGGGCCTTTGATGTGGTTTTGTACCACTTGGGCTTCAATTTATTGATTTGGGAATTAATGGGCATTTTAGAATTTAAGCCCATTAATCCATAATTTGCGAACTTGAGACTTTGCACCAATTGTTCGCCAACTAGATTTGTTTAATGGACAAGTTCGTTGGGCTTGAGACTTGTTATGAATGAGCCCATTGTATTTGAGACCGTAGAGTCTTGGAATGTCGGCTTGAGACTGACTGATCTTGAGATGTGAGACGAGCGCAATGCGTATGCGTATGAGACCATTAGGTCTTGGGCCATCAAATCTTGTAATTTCGTATTGGCCCTGTTGCTGTCAATGATTTGGTAATGAGCTGAACCCTCACAAGCCTTTAGCTTTCTTGATCACGTCTTTTGAGCTCAAGGCAACAACACACATGATCTTTCATCCTGTGAACTGAAGTCTTTTGTGACCTTTTGATATTTTGTTTGTTTTTTCCTTGAGCCTCAATTTCGTGCAGGTGGCATTGGAACAAAAGGGAAAAAGACCACTTCCTTCTTACTTTTTCCGAGGTGGGTTCCGTGATATGTGAAACACTGGGAAAGCCATTTCCATTTGGGTAGGGAAAGCATGGACCCTCCGTCACCACAAATAAATTGTCTTTAGATTTGATTGCTGGAGAAAGTGTGAGAGTGGCCATGACTTGTGCCTGTCTAAATTCCATCATTTTCCCACAACAAAATAATGTGGCTATCTTGAAATTAAATGAATGGCATATATTTTTCTTCATATGGGAACACAGAGCGGAATGAGAGGCTCTAAACAATGCCATGTTACCCTTTTGGTAGAGGAAGACAAATGTGCTACTAACTTGTCATTTCCCATAATGGTCCATCAGCAAAATTGGTGATATATTGCTTGGCTTCCAGTGCACAATAGGTATTGAATAACCACGGTGTAGGTATTCCAGTGCAGATGCAGCATCTATCATTATGTTCAACCTCTGTAAGATATTCAAAGAATTTTGAGAGTACATCCGCTTCTCGAGGCTCCCATTTGGCATCTCCACAAGCTTCTATTTTTTGCTTATGTTTACATTCAGCAAAGCATAGTAAACCAAAGGCCTGATTTTGGATACTGAGAAAGAATTCCTCTTGCTCTCATTCCTCAC